CGCTGGGAGTAAATCCAGTATATATATTCTTAGCATCATTAATTAAGTAATTGCCAACCTTTTATGCTTCTGCTATCACCTTTTTATGTTTAGCTTTCAATTGAGATACGAACGATTTCACCTGCTATTCGGTAGGGAAGGTCGAAGCATCACGATAGTCAGTAGTAGGATGAGCAAACAGGAACACTTTGAAAGCAGCTACAAGTATAATATTGTACTTGGCTTGCTGCACAATATCTACCAAGGTGGTTCTAAGCGGTTCCTGAATACCTCTGTATGTCATTTGAAAACTTCCATGCTTCTTGTGCTTGGCCGTTAAGCTCGTGATGCGCTGACGGATTTCAGTCACCTTACCACTTCAAATCACTTTCGTAGTCCCAACAACTAAAATAGTTCAGGAAATGCCTTCTTTTTAACGAATAAAAATGTTCAAAAATTTTCAGTTCAAATTAAGAACAACCGGGTTGGGTAGGTTTTGTTCTTTTTTTTTCAACAAAAATGCCCCCCACTGGCTCGTATGGGGCCTGTCAAACAACCAATGTAAAATCTTGAAAGGAAAACTGGAAAAGTACTAATTCAGAAAGGTTTAAACATAAAGAAAATGTTAACATTTAACACTGAAAGTTAAGTTAGTTAATGTTTTTGTCCCAGATCCAAAGAATGGAGCTAAAGATGAATTTCAGACAAACTGATGTTATAGAACAAAAAAGAACGGAAGAAGGAACCGGTTGCAACTGGAAAGTTGGGATTTCGATAACTCAATGAGGAAAAAAAATGTTGGAAATCAAGCAACATATTTCATCACCAGTCTTATGAACATGTCCTAGATTTAAAAAACAACAACAACAAATTAACACCTGATAAAAAGCATTTTATATACTTTATACCCACGTGTAAAAAATAAAAATATAATTTTCAGATTTTTAACAACACATATGTTAAACTTTTTTTTCTTGAATAATGATTTAATCATGCCAAGTTTCAAAACCACAATAAAATAACCTAATATTTCACGAGTTTTATGAATATAGTTTAGAAATATTTAAATTATTTACGTGAAATGGCGAAATATCTGTAAATTGGTTGAGAAATGTAAGTGTCAGCATAAATAAAACAGGATACAGAATGAAGAGAAATGATAATTTATAGGTCCTTGTGTGTTATCATCACAGTTTGAAGATATTTAAAGAAGATATAACGTCCTAATTACAATACACTTGACGATTGTGTTTATGAGATAAGAGAACATGTATTAGCATGATGGATGTTAAAATGTGTAATTATTCAAAGCTTGTTTGTTTGTTTGTTTTGAATTTCGCGCAAAGCTTCACGAGAGCTATCTGCACTAGCCGTCCCTAATTTTCCAGTGTAAGACTAGAGGGAAGGCAGCTAGTCATCACCACCCAACGCCAACTCTTGGGCTACTCTTTTTACCAACGAATAGTGGGATTGATCGTCACATTATAACGCCCCCACGCAACAGAAGATTAATTGCTTCATTGAATAATTGGCCAGGTGGTTAGGGCTCTGACATGGCCAGGTGGTTAGGGCACTCGACTCGAAATCTGTGGGTCGCGGGTTCGAATCCCCGTCCCACCAAACATGCTCGCCCTTTCAGCGTGGGGGCGTTATAATGTGTGGTTACACTCTCAGGTGGTTAGGGCACTCGACTCGAAATCTGTGGGTCGCGGGTTCGAATCCCCGTCCCACCAAACATGCTCGCCCTTTCAGTAAATACGATGGAAAAATGTTTTATTTCAATTTCTTACTGAGATAGGTATATATTACACAAATACTATATTTTGGTACGTTACCTAGAAGTAACATTATTCAATTGAGGAACGAACACATAAATATATCCATGGTTTATTTGGACTGTTACCTAGAGGTAAGATCATTCAATTACAGAATAGAAACATTTGTATGTGAAGCAACAAAGACAGATCTGTTACAATAGTGTACGTTACAATGTGCTATAGAGAGTTAACATAAAAACGTCAGTTATCTGTCTTCTCCTGTCTTCCCAGCCTCGAATTTTTTTATTCTTTTCTTTCTCCTTTTTTGTTTTTTTTCTTTTTTGGAATGCGCTGCCTAAGATTTGTGTTTTTCTTTTATATGAAAGTAGAGGAATAGCTTACAATGAAAAAAAAGAACCTCGTGATTTTTTTACAAAAGTAATGTTCAACGTCATCTGCTGAATACGGATTAAAGACAAGTTTCGAAAAGTTACCATTTGGTGGGTTTAGAGAATATAAAGTCGAACTACAGCGTCAAATTTCCAACAAAATAGATCAATTGTGGTAAATGCTTATTGCAAAATATCATTTAAAACATTACATAATTCCTGTAAAAAAGAGGGGGAGGAAAAAGAGATTGAGAAGGAAACACGTTTAACTTTTGTTTTTACTATTAAGATAATTTATTTTAAAATAATAGTGACAGAAATGTATGATGGGAAAGAAATGTCATCCTGTTACGTCATTCTCAGCTTGAGCTCCAGTTAGGTGAATAGTACTTTTTGATAAGTCAGGTAGCTTCGTGTTATGTTTTGTTTTCATGTTCGAATTACACCTGGTGACAACAACTAGAACTAGCATGGTTTCTAGTTAGACATCAGGTCTGAAATTGTGCTTTTGTTTAATTGTCGAATATATAAATGTAATAAAATTATATCAGTTCTATATTATAAACAAACAGTAAATAGTATTTGGAATCATTTAAATAATGTAATTTTCCAAGTGTTAGTTCAAGTCCTACCAACTAAAAGTTTTGCTTCATTAGGCTACGTTTTAATTTTTTTTTCAATATTTTTATTTCTTTTCCCGAAGATTACAGCATTCTAAGACAAGAAGAAAAAAAAGATATATTAATTTTTACTGGTTCGCAATTCAATTGTTGATATAGGTTTGTTTTTTATTCATTAACAGGGCAAGTCCCAGAAAATGCGATCTTTAATAAGTTGAAAACCTTTTTTGGTTATGTTAATATGAGAATCCAGATCTGCCATATTTATTTACATTCTCTTCCCCCAATGTTGGTGAAAATTATGAGAGATTTTAGAGGAAAATCAACTATATATATATATATATATATATTGAATAGATAAATTCTCATCCTTCTGCTTCTGAACGCGAAAATTACAATATTTAACTGTTATAAGACATATAGTTTTTTAAGATAAATATTATTAATTTCATTATCTTAGTTTTATTACTAAACCAAAGGGTTGTTCGTATTAGCTACTCCCATTTACAGATATAATACTTTTGTCCGAGGTTCTGTTTGTATAGATTTGATATCGTTAAACATACTAAAATTCAATTCCAACAGAAGCAGATGTCGCCAGTATTCACGCCACAGAAAAAGAGTTTATTCAAAGTTGTACGATAACATATCTTCCTAAACTTAACATACCAGTGGTCTATGTGGGACGATATAGTTTATAAGAGTTTCGACATTTTTTTTTTTTATCTTTGGGAATGAAAAGTACGAAATACAAACAAACAGTGTAAGCAGCACATTTTGGACACATCATAATATATTCTTAAATATTTTTCGAATCCAACCAATTAAACAGTCTTTTAACGTAACATAGCGTTGAAAATTTAGTTTTGTTCTCAATCATAAATATTAGCCACAACTAATATTACCGCAACATTACTGGAAACCCTGTGCCATTATACAGTCTTTTCTCGGTTGCTGAATATAGCTCTCTAATCAAAGACAAATACCTCATTTAAAGTTGTTCTGTTTTCGCTGGAAAATGTCTTGTTGAAGACTACGTATTATAATATCTTATTACTTTGGGTTTGTCAAGGCTGTATCCGTATCGTTCGTACTTTGATTACAAAGTTGTACTTCAAGTCCCAGTATAGCTCAGTATTCATATACAGAAGATGACAACTTCCTGTGATCTTGTCGTGTGACTCCATTTTGTATCTTCGCCGAATCACTCAGTTACTGTACCAATCTGTTTCATGGGCACACTTACACACATGTAACTTGAATCAACCAGTAACTGTACCAATCTGTTACATGGGCACACTTACACACACGTGTAACTTGAATCAACCAGTAACTGTACCAATCTGTTACATGGGCACACTAACACGCATGTAACTTGAATCAACCAGTAACTGTACAAATCTGTTACATGGGCACACTAACACACATGTAACTTGAATCAACCAGTAACTGTACCAATCTGTTACATGGGCACACTAACACACATGTAACTTGAATCAACCAGTAACTGTACCAATCTGTTACATGGGCACACTTACACACATGTAACTTGAATCAACCAGTAACTGTACCAATCTGTTACATGGGCACACTTACACACATGTAACTTGAATCAACCAGTAACTGTACCAATCTGTTACATGGGCACACTTACACACACGTAACTCTTATCCAGGAGATAACTGAAAAGCTACATCTGCAGTACTGTTCTACACGGATGCCCCAGGAGACAAACCATTAAGTGGTCCTTCTGGAATAATATAATGCATTTTGGTACTGCCTGTACAAATCTGAGACATATAACAAACACACGGTTTCTCGTTATACGTGAACAATGAATGATGTTTTTCCGTTCGATCACTGCAATCTTTTCATAAAGTCACGAATTTCTGTTAAGTATGAAACACCGCTGTTTAATCCAATACGCACACTCCCTCGTGAACAATTAGAAGCAACACAGTCACCAAAGATACGTTGATCAGTAACAGCAGGAAGTTTTCACAAGTGACCAAGGTCCAGTGCATGGTGTAGAGCAGCGAGGTCCGAGTGTCCACTGACTCGCCAAAACGGAAAATTTAACTACAAGAAAATTAAAATGATCGAATGAAATCCTCACGAAGAGAATTAAAAAACAAAAAAACACTGACGATACATATGGAGAATGTTCTTAACCAAAGGTTTCAATCTAATGTTCATTATCAAAACAATGGTCAATATCAATCTGTTTATTATCAAAAAAACGTTCAATATCAATCTGATACTCATTATCAAAACAATGTTCAATATCAATCTGATACTCATTATCAAAACAACGTTCAATATCAATCTGATACTCATTATCAAAACAATGTTCAATATCACAACAATATTCATTATCAAAACAACGTTCAATATCAATCTAATGTTCATTATCAAAACAACGTTCAATATGAATCTAATGTTTATTATCAAAACAACGTTCAATATCACAACAATATTCATTATCAAAACAACGATCAATATCAATCTGTTCATAACCAAACAATGTTCAATATCACAACAATATTTATTATCAAAACAACGTTCAATATCAATCTAATGTTCATTATCAAAACAACGTTCAATATCAATCTGATACTCATTTTCAAAACAACGTTCATTATCAATCTAATGTTCATTATCAAAACAACGTTCAATATCAATCTGATACTCATTTTCAAAACAACGTTCAATATCATCTAATGTTCATTGTTAAAACAATGTTCAGTATCAATCTAATGTCCATTGTTAAAACAATGTTCAGTATCAATCTAATGTCCATTGTCAAAACAATGTTCAACATCAAAACAATGTTCAGTATCAATCTAATGTCCATTGTTAAAACAATGTTCAGTATCAATCTAATGTCCATTGTCAAAACAATGTTCAGTATCAATCTAATGTCCATTGTCAAAACAATTTTCAGTATCAATCTAATGTTCAGTATCAAACTGATGTTCAGTATCAAAACAATGTTCAATATCAATCTGATATTCTATATAAAACTAAAATTATATCTTTCCGGTAAAATAGCTTTCATTGTACGTGAATGGAAATATCAGATTTTCCTTTGCCTTAATTTAACATTTAATAACAATAAGTTCTTACAATGGTTGGAGACGGTTTGAATGGGTAATGATTTGTTTGTTTGGAATTAAGCACAAAGCTACACAATGGGCTATCTGTGCTCTGCCCACCACGGGTATCGAAACCCGGTTTCTAGCGTTGTAAGTCCGCAGACATACCGCTGTGCCACTGGAGGGCAGAATGGGTAATGAAGAAAAACTTTAATATAAGTTTAACATAACAGCAAACTCAAGACCTTTTCTCAAACCATTGTTCGTCTCAAAGTGGGTTCCTCGTCATCGAATAAGTGCTTATGTTAGTAAATACATAACGCGTTGGAAACATTTTGTTTATCTAGTTAAAAAATAACTCCAAAAGGACATGGCTATGAAAACCACACATAATACTTATTGTACGTGCTTTATGGTACCTCCGAGTAGGACACACACACGTACTAGAGGCTCAGATCCGGAGGGGGCTACAAGGGTGCACCTTTCTTTGTGTGAGGGTTTTATGTTGCAGGTAAATCAAGTGTATGGCCTTGAACTTTGATCAAAGCACACATCCTGTGATGAGATATACACATATGTTAAGCTGACCTTGACAAATCTCCCACTTTGACTGCAATAACTCCTTTGCTTATTCCTGCAGACTGACAATGAGTACGATTATAAGAATCGTCACTAAGATGTCGCGTCCTACTTCAACACATCGACAGTGTCGTTGAAGCTACTCGAGTGTCGCTAAATAAAACAAACGTTTCGAAGTACTCGCTGAATGCACTTGAATTGTTGTTTTTTGTTTTATCTTTCCAAACCACACATATCTACACCACACATTGACGAGTTAATGTTTTGTTTTCTAAATAATACTTGTTTTTCACAGTGTGCGTGTGCGCAATAGCGTGATGTTTAGAATGATCGCTGTACAAATACAGAAGGTGTTCGGTTAGTACTAGATGACTACAGTTAAAGTAGCGATTTATCGTTGGGTGGCGTAAAGTTTGTTTTACACAATGAACTATCTGTATATTGTTACCACCACAGGTATCGAAAATGGATTTCTGGCGTTATAAGCCTTCAGTGAGTCAGTGGGGAGCCTGGGGGGGGGGGTATAAAGCTAAGTTTACGTTGGGATTACGCAGATATCTGGAAAGTATGGAATTCCTGTATTTTCCCTTTCTGGTATCAATCCAGAAAGAAAATGGGCCACGATGAAGGTCATTTAATCAGAATATTCATCTTTTTTCTTTTTTTTCTCGGTTTTAACCTGTTTTTGTATTTTCAAACATTTCTCAAGCGTGATAAGATTTACATTTCCAGAGAATGCAGATGTGAAACAAAAAGGAAGAATATTAAATTAGCATAGAAGCAATGACGTCACAATCACTGTTATACTGCAACTGAATCTTCTACGTGTTTGTGTGTTAAACGTTTGAATATATTTGAGTTCAATACGGATTGTTTGTTTGCTTGTTTTTTGAATATCGCGCAAAGGTACACAAGGGCTATCTGCGCTCGCCGTCCCTAATTTAGCAGCCATAGACTAGGGAGAAGGCAGCTAATCAACACCACCATCCGCCAACTCTTAGGCTATTCTTGTAGCAATGTATAGTGGGATTGACTGTGACATCATGACGCCCTCACGGCTAAAAGGGCGAGCATGTTCGGTGATGGGGATTCGAACCTGCGACTCTCAGAATGCGAGTCGAGCGCCCTAACCACCAGACCTTTCAATAAGGAAATTGCTAACGGCTACCAAGTGTTCCAGTACGTTATTGGTGCGTTTTAGAAGACTTTTTTTTTTCAGAATTTCACGTAGTTGTTCCTAATCCTGAATTGATAGATAAGAAGGGAAGGCAGTTAGGTAACACCAACCACCGCCAACTCTTAGGCCTGATGGAATAATGACATTTGATAGCCACTCTTTTAGCGCATCCATAGCCGGGTAACAGGCATATTGGTTTAGACTCCTTTATTGCTATATGTGGGGGGTGGACACATGTTTTCCATGGTGTGCTTGTAAAGATGAATGAGAGGAATCTTGAATTGTTTGAATCTAGTTATAGAAAAGGGAGAACACTTTATGACACCTTATGCCCACATGGGCTAAACGGATAGGTCCCTATGATTCAAATCTACAGCCCTTCCTAATATTGAACGAATGGCCATATAGAAGGTAGACAACCAGCAGATCCCGCCGCCACAAGGGCTTTGTCAGGGTCTTTTAACTGAATAAAGATATGGACTATCTTTATTTTAAACGTGTTTGATGAAACCACGTCTTGAACTACAGAACTTCGAACTACAGCCCGATAAACTGTCACTAAGCCACGCCCGGCCTTTATATTCTTCACTCTTAACTGTAGATTATCTTCTATAGAAAAGAAAACATATATATATATATATATATATGAAATCGCCGCTTAACACAAGCAATGTCGAAATGAATAAATTGGAGTTATTTCCGGACTACAGAGTGCACAAGAATATAAAATCTGATGTAAATGGGGAATTCCTTGTTCAAATCTGGATCTTAAATTAATTAAGTATGATCTTCATCAAAATATGGTAGGTATTATCAGGGTCAGAGTTCAGTTATCTGATCAAGGAACATTTTAAGTATCTTGATCATCTAATCAGTCCATAACACAGTAACGAATTTCGATAATATTTGGCACTTACATGCTTGTTTACGGTACGTGGATAAAACATACGCATGCCTGCTATACACGTATCTATTATTTTAGAACTTAAGTAAACACATACACAAAATAGCCGATTTATTATTTTAAAGGAAAAAACTGGAAAACATGTTTCGACCTTTCTCCCTACTGATCATCATTAAACCTTAATAATAAATTAGGATCATGATTATGAACTTGGAGAAACACAAAGACTTGATGATCAGCCCAGAGACAGCATGAATAAAAGTCGTCCACTGTTTTTGGTTTTGTTTTAATAAAATAACTGCCAACTCGGAATACGCCGCGGCTGTCCGATATGTTAATAATCATTTCTGTTGGCTTTTCCTTAATTTCCTAAGATTTCCTTGATTGTGATATCCGTGTTAACATACAAATTGTCGCTTCTTCAAATCTCACGTAATCAAACCGGGCTATAGAAATGTTTTAAAAACACACACACACACAAAAAAAGGAAAATTTGGGGTAGAGAAATGATTTAAACTAGTTTAAATTTTAATACAATTTGGTGAGGAGAAAATTTACCATCATTAAGAAATACTGGAGAATAACGTTTCTGTTTAAGTAAATAAAATTATCAGTTATTAAAATTCTTTCTGATAAAACAAAAGAACAATAATACAAATTTCATTGTATTCTGTTCACAAGTGGAAATACCACCCAAATAGTCACTGCACTATAATATAGGCCACCTAGTGACGACACTGTATTCTGTTCAAAGATGGAAATACTACCCAAATAGTCCCTGCACTATAATATAAGCCACCTAGTGATGACACTGTATTCTGTTCAAAGATGGAAATACTACCCAAATAGTCCCTGCACTATAATATAAGCCACCTAGTGATGACATTGTATTCTGTTCAAAGATGGAAATACTACCCAAATAGTCCCTGCACTATAATATAAGCCACCTAGTGATGACATTGTATTCTGTTCACAAATGGAAATACAACCAAATAGTCCCTGCACTATAATATAAGCCACCTAGTGATGACAT